TGGGGATCGGCAGGCAGAACAGGGCTCCAGAGAGAGGCTCTTTCCTGTTCCCTTAAGGAAAGGTCTGGGAGGACTCATTCCTCTGGGCAGGGAGGAAGTATGAGACAACCAAGCTGGGGAGGAGGGGCGGGGCTAACACGCAAACTGTCAACTGCTGAAACAAGCGGGCTCCCGTGATAAAACACGGATCATACCCCCAGTTTGAGGACAGCATGGCCCTAGTGACTGGTGACTGGCAAGGCCGAGGCAGCACCCCAATTTCCCACTTATTTACTCCCCGTGCTCCTCCTGCCGGGGAAGCAGCACTAGCCTGTACCCCGAAGCACAGGCCGCACTCCCCCCTTTCATGCCTCCCATTCCCTCCTGCCACCGTCTCATCTGATCTGTCCGCAACCACACCGTCTCGAATGGCCTCGTTACTCCTGCTCCCCATCTCCTGCTTTCTCCTCTCCATCTATATATACACTTCATACTCTCGAAAGTAGTCTTATACACCCGTCAACTTGTTTGCTGTCTATGCGCCAGGGGTGGGGGCTTTGTCCCGTCCTGCTCTGCTTCCCCAGTCCCCAGAACACTGTCTGGCACACTGCAGGAGTTAGGCACACCCTTGCTAAGTGAAGTTCTTGGTTCAAGCACTTCTCCACTGGCACTACACTGATTTGAGCCCCCACCCGGCTTCCAGCGCCTCTCAACCTTGGTGACTGTCTGCATGAAGGCCAGAAAGCTGAGGGAGGAGCCTGAGGTGACTAATGTTTCCAGGTCAGAGCACCCCACCCTGAAATGCACCCGTTCTCCCAAAAGCAGCCAGAGTAGCCCTCTAAAATCACAGAGCATGTCCCTCTCCTACTTAAAATCTCCCAGTGGCCCTCAAGGCCCAGCAGGCCTGCCTCTCCCACTCCACTTCCAATCACTTCTCTCCTTGCTCCCTCCTCCCCATACTCTGCTTTTCTTCCTCAAACCAAACCTACCTCCAGTACCAGTCACACCTCCGTCTTCCCCAGCAGTCTCCCCGAATCTCGGCTCCCACGCCACCTCCTAGGAGAGCCTCCTCCCCTCCTGCCACTCCAGGTGGCAGCTCACATTCCAAGCCAGTTATTTCCTTCCCATCACTCATCACGGCCTGTTCTTGTTCGCTGATTGATTTGCCAACTTGATTTTTGTTTCTCTCTCTTTCGCTCGTTTTCCCCGCAGCACGTACTGCAGTGCCCAGAACATAGTTAAAACTCAATTAACATGTGTTGGGTGAGCCCTGACCGGGGTGGCTCAGTTGCTTGGGCACTATCCCACTAAGAGAAACCTCACGGGTTCGATTCCGGGTCAGGGCACATGCCTGGATGCGTCCCCAGGTGGGGCACATATGAGAGGCAGCAGATTGATGTTTCTCTCTCACACCGATGGTTCTCTCCCTCTCTCCCACCCTTCCTCTCTCTCTGAAAATAAATGAGACTTTAAAAAATTATTTGTTGGGCAAAACTGCCTTGCCACTATTATGATGGTGATGATGACAATGATGATGACAATGACCCCAATGAGGCTCATACCAGTGATACTCTCCCACAGGGAGATGCTGGCTGTGTGTGGGTCCAAGGACTACCTGGAGCATGTTCTGGACCCTCTAATTAGAGACAGAATCCATTGTTACAAGCTTTGCCTGGGCTTTGAAGCTGGGGGGGGATGTGTGTTTAACTCACGCCAGGAGACCTCATAGTCATCATTATGTCCAATGTACCCCCTGTCTCCATGGAGATCCACTTAGTAAAAGCAAGATAGGGTGGATTTATTGTGTTTGGTAAATAGTAAATATTGAGACAGAGAGATAGTCTCTTGGCCCCTCCAGATGCTCTTCCCAGCTCCCACACTCACTCTGCCAGGAAGGGTCCTGAGGACACGCTAGAGAAGAGAGAAAATGTAGTTAACCCGACAGTGCTGCAGGGAGCGACCAGGGCTGGCAGCCAACAGGGGCTGCAGAAGAAAGACTTCGGCCCGAAACTGAAGCAGGGTGACCTGTTTTAATTACACTGGGGAAAGTTTAAAGGAGAACATAGTGGGACACATCTCATGTTGCTTTGGAAAAAGAGAATCTCAAAAAACAGAGATGGAAGACATCGCAGACAATTATTTCATTTTATAGATGGGTGACATGAAGCCCAGAGACGAGGAAGGACTTTTCCGGGATCACAGAGAAATTCTGCGCCTCATCTAAGCCAAGAATCCTCTCTGTGAAGGTCGCTGTTTTTCTGGCTCATACCATCACAGGTGTAAACCTAACTTTCAAGCAACATTAAGCTAAGTCATCCACGTGTCCACTCATCTCTGTGGCCACAGAAACAAACAAGACCGTACGTTCGAAACTCACCCAGACGCCTATGGCGTCTCATTTCTAGCTCTCCTTCCTTTTGGACCGTAGTCAACCCACACGTATCAATCCCCTGGACTTCCCAGCTGATCCTATCAAAAAGAGGCAGGAAAACAACCAAAAGAGAGGTGTTGACAGAGAACAGGGTGGGCACACAAGACTTCAAGAGTCAGTGGGTGGATCGTGCGGGATTGTGAACACTCTATGAAGCCTTGTCCTATCAGAAATCATGACTCTCACCCAACTGTGGGAAAACAAGAGCATTTGGGAACATGTGGGGTTCTATGTGGAATGAAGTGACAAGACGGTAAAGAAGGTTACGTCTACCACTCAGGACGCTCAGTTATCAGGTCACGTTATCTGGGAGCTCTGAAGGATGTTTCTATTTTTTTTTTTAAATGCAGTTCTTTTTTTTTTTTTAATTAATTTATTTATCTTTAGAGGGGAAGAAGAGAGGGATAGAAACATCAGTGTATGGTTGCCTTTTGTGCATCCCCTGCCGGAAACTGGCCTGCAGGGAACTGGCCTGCAACCCAGGAATATGCCCTGACTGGGAATTGAACCGCGATCCTCTGGTTCGTAGGCCTGTGCTCGGATGTTTCTATTTTTTTAAAAAATCTAAACAAAAACCCATATTTCCAAATAACAAATGTGGAACCTGGGATTTTTTGGGATGAAAATAACAAAAGGGAAGGAAGCACAAAGCAGCTTTCAGACCTGGGGTCTAGCCTTGAATACTTACCTTGGGCATTTACCTTATCCTTACCTTAAGATAAGGATAACAATGAATACAATAATAAACATAGACATCATTTACTTATCAATACCTGTATGCCAGGGAATGCATTGAGCATTTATATATGCCTTCTTTCATCTAATTGCCATCCCAATCGCCTGAAATATGATTGGCATTATTACTTCCAGGGAGAACCAGAGAGATGAACTGGTTTGCCTAAATGAATTACCGAGTTGTAGAACCAAAATGTGAATTCAAGTTTGAATTCTTATCATTGTATTTCAAAGGATGGTGGTGAGGATTAGATTTGAAATTTAGGAAGGAAAATGCTTAGCAAAGCACCGACTCTTAGAACACGCTCCCTACATGGCAAGTGGTTCCCCTCCTGCTGTCCTTATTCACATCCCTTGGCTCATCCTGCACAAGGGAGGGGCAGTAAGGCTCAAGCGTCCATTGCTAATTCTCAAACCTTTCATGACAAAAGTCACTGAACTGCTGGTCAGCTAACTGGGAGACAGATGTGGAGGGGAAGCCGGGAGAAGATCCCCGATGTCATTCCCTCCCTTCCAGACACAGAACTCAGAATCCAGGAAGAGGACGGAAAGGGGTGCCCTGGCTTTGCTATGGACAGGGGCTCAAACTTTGGAAAAATTGTAGTTTCTGGTACTGGCTAATAAAGCTTAGTAATCAAAGCGTGTTAAAAAGCTATTGTTCCATGAACTTGACTCCAGGAGACCTTGAGCAGCCCCACCTTTGTGCGCGGGGAGGATGGAAGGCAATCACACCTTCTCTAAGGCACTGTGTCCGAGGCGGGGACGCCCACACCCAGGGCTCAGATGCAAGAATGCTGCAGCTCTTTATCTGATTAACTTCTAACTTTTCCCCTGAATTCCTCTCCTCTTACCTACACTTCCCTTCTCCCTATAAAAAAAAAAATTAATACTGTTTGTTCGGGTACAAACCCACTATTTTCTCAGACCACCGACCATTTGAATGAAGCGCCCACAAAGACTCAATCCCTGTCTCTGCTTATTGGGTCTGGTAGGTGACAGGTAGCACAAATGACAGCATCTCTGGCTTCTCTGTGAGAACTAGAATATCTGATTTTCTTCTGTGGGAATCAATTTCCCCTTTGGGAGGAAGGAGCTGGGCTGCAGGGCCCCTTGAGGGGACTGTGGAATGGTGACAAAGAGCATGTGCTCCGCAAGTAATTTCACTTCTTACATCCTGCCCGATCTTCAAAATGACTGATAATAATTTCACAAGGTTGCTTAGGTCAATCAAATAACTCATGGAAAGTGCTTAGCAGAGTGCCTCGGACATGGCAAGTATTCAATTACTATTATATACTACCACTACTATTGCCATTACTATTATCAACACCATCACTCCCACTCCAGTACTTGAGGTATCTCTATTAAGCCAGAACATGACTTTGTGAACGTCTTTATACATGCGTTTAGCGGTCTAAAGAATGAGTCCACAGCCCCAGATTCAGCGCTTTGCATGGCATGATGACCAGGTTTTCTTCCTCAAGGGAAAGTCTGTGACTTCTAGGACAGCCATAATTGTACCAGCAAAGTTCCTTCCCCTCCTCTCCAGGCAGTGGGGCGAAGCCAGGGACCTAGACTTCCGCAGCCCGCCCACATCAGTCACCATTGGCTGCCTCGTCACTGGCGTGATTAAGGCCCCGCCCCCTTCTCGCTGGGACCACTCTGAGGCCACCTCCCGAATCCAAGGGGCCTCGGAGGAGCGCCCGCAATGCGGCCTGGGCCTTGTAGTCCATCCACACAGCTGCAGCCAGAGAACTGGGCCTCATGACCCAAAGAACTACAATCCCCAGCAGCCAGGCTGCGAGCTGGGGGAAGGGGGTGCTCCAGTCACGTGGGCGCTCTGCCGGGGCGGGTGATTTCTCAGTGAGGCGGCGGCTACTGGGGGACCGGGGCCTTTTGTTTGGAGCAGCTGGGAGCGGGGGGCGCCCCCGGGAGAGGCGAGGCCGGCGGCCTTCCCCAGTTTGCTGGGCCCTGGCCGCCCCTCTAGGGGGTTGGGGGACCAACCCCTGGGCCGGCCTCGCCTCCGGTGCTGCCGTCCCGCCCTAGGCCCGCCCTGCCGCCCCGCCCGGCTAGCTTAAGGGGTGGAACCGGCCGGGCCTCCTCGCAGGGCCTAGCCACCTCCGGACTGAACGCCGCAGTCACTACCCGAACCGCAGGCCGCCCCTCGCCCCTCAGGCCGTCGCCATGAAGATCAAGGATGCCAAGAAACCCTGTAAGATGGGGGCTTGGGCTCACTGGGTCGGGAGAGCACCTTCGACACCGTTTGGAAGCCCTGTGGCCAAGCGGCCTGGTCCAAGCCCCTGGCTCGTCGCTGGTACCCTGTATTGATTGGGGCGGAGGGATCTTTTCAGCCCGGGTCGGAGACGCCCGGCCTATCCCCCTATACAGGCCTGCGAACGCCTTCCGCCCCCTGGCCCTTTTCTCCCACTTCCTCCTCAAGATCTAGGAGGTGCCGGCGGGGATTTTTAACTCAGCCCCCAGTGCCCTCTCCCAGCTTCCTCTGCACTCTTGCTGAAAATGAAAATGGGTGGTCATGGCTGTCAAATTGCGCTGGGGCAGTCACCAACCATTTTTACTGGTTGCTGGGCTTTCTGCTCGTGTCCTTGAAATCCCGGTGGGTTCCCGGGAGTTGTCGCTGTTGTTACAATTGGAGTTTTGTTAATGCAGGTGCTTGTTCCATGCCAGTGACTTATTTTTGTTTAAAATAAAAAGTAGTATATGTTGGTTTAAAAATCAAAAAGCTCAAAATCGCAGGTATTTCCGCTCCTCGAAGCTCATCACTGCTATTGGTTAATATTAACTACTGTTAAATATTTTGATGAATATTCAGATTCTTTTACAACTATATGTGCAAAGCATTCTTTCGATGAGCAGACCAACTTTTATTTGCGCTCTTTTATTAGCTTTTTAAAACCCTTTTACTTATGTAAATGGGTTATTTAACTCAGCTACTGTGATCGTCACACTTTAAGCCCACTTTTGCAGAACAACTAGAAATGTGGGGTGGGTGCATGCTTGTATCTTAGAATTGTGGTTATGTTCTGCAGTTCTAGTGTCTCATGTGACCCAGCAGTTCTAAGAAATCTGATAGGAAAGGGAGCTCTGGCCTTTTCCCGCCCATCAGGTTTCTTGTAAACCTGAAAGGAGAGCCCCCCCCAATGGCTAATTGTTATTTAAATATAAGATAATTGGGTCTTAATTTTGCAGGTGAGGACATTGAATTATTGAGCCCAGAGTTGGAGCCAACCAACACTGTGCTAAACAGGTTCGGGGCCTTAGGTCCACTGACGGGCTCATGGTCTGTATGCTCGTTCTTCTGCACCCAGAGAGTGTGGTCTGCGTACTTAGAGAAACACAAACCTTTCTGCTCTGGGGGTTCTATTTGCCAATTAAAAAAATGATATAATAAAAATTGTATCATTTAAAAAACTAGTCATTCTTGTGATGTGAAGGCCTAAATGGCAGTAATTATAGGAACCCTTATTTCCATTTGCTGAATTCAGCTTGTCTTGAACAGATGCAATATGTAAAACTCTTGGACATCTTCCCTCAACACATACATTTCATCTGCTCGCCTTAGAATTTCCTTTTTCTTTTCCATTTTTTTGAATTGTTGTTCTTTCCATTACCATTTATCTCCCATATACCCTCTTCCACCTCCTCCACCTCCCTGCCCTGCGGTCACCACAGTGTAGTCCATGTACAGGAGTCCTTTTTCCTCAATCCGTCCATGCCCCACCCTCGCCACCTGTCAGCCTGCTCTCTGGCTATGAGTCTGTCTCTGTTTTTGCTGGTCAGTTTGGTTTGTTCATTGGGTTCCACATATCAGTGAACTGTGGTGCTTGTCTTTGCCTGCCTGGCTTGTTTCACTTAGCATCTTGTTCTCCAGGTCCATCCGTGCTGTCACAAAGGGTATGACAGGCTCAGATTCTGACTCTCAAGTTGTCTTTCTTTTTGCCATGATAATTCAGTTACATAGATTTGGGAAAACTTAGAATCAGATTTGAATATCCCCTCTGTCAAAGGTGTTTTCAGGAAAGATGATAATGAACAGTTTAAAAACTAAAGTTTAGGTGGAGAAATAAAAGACCACTTATTGATGAAATCAAGTTGGCTATTAGTACACTGTGGTACATTGTGAGACAATGTTTAAACAGGGTCACGGTCAAAAACACGGCAGTTCATTTGATTTAGAAGTCAAAAAAACCACTTTCAGTTTCTTATATATGAAAGGTGACTTTACTGCCTCCTGAATTCTTTATGGTAAAAGTAAAGAACATCTTGTTTTTTTGTGTGTGGGGAAGAAAATATGGTCTGACCTGGAAATACATGTAACTGGGTAGCGTTACTTCCAATTTTAAATCACTCAGGTTAGATAAAGACACACTTTGTTTTGTTTTTTGAGAACTTCTGTAGGGTTTTTACATCATAAATGCAGTGAGCACTTGGTGTGTGCCATGGACATGCATTGATTGCATCATTAGCCCTGGCAGCAGGCCAGCGCTGGGGCTGTTGTCTCGGACTTGTTAAGTAAGAGTCGTTGGCTTCACACACTTTCTTGTTTGTTCACCTAAGTCATAGAAGACATTTGCTTTTAGATACGTCTCTAATATATGACCAGATTATAAACGAAATGCACATATTGAACCAGAAATAAGAAAAGGAATTGGTTTCAATCCAGGATTAGCATTTGAAAGTATGTGCCAATTCAGTTCCCAGAGAAGGATGAAGTTAAACTTGAACCTAGTGAGAAACTTTTGTTAAAATATGAGAGCAGAAATAATGGTAATGTTTGTTTGCTTTACCTTTATGGTTTTCATGCTGCTAAATATTAGATGTTAAAAATCTGAGCAATCACATGTTCTTCTACCTTGAGTGCTGTGATTATTAAGGTAATATAGGCTTTTCAGCCTTGGTTTTGTTTACCTGTGTGGCATGTGAAGTGATTAACAAAGTGGTAGTAAAATACACATATATTTTTTAAGTTTGATGTGACATAGGTTTCGGAGTCTGTGCTTTGCTGACCTAAGTGTAAGTTACCTGAAGTTTTTGACAAAACCAGAGAGAATTATGTAGCACTTATTTGTGGTTTACTTCTTGCCTTGTAAATTGAGTCACTACTTTAGAATTACCACTTCCAGAAAACGTAGGTAGGTACTACATTCATGAATCTTGTCTCAGAGAGGTTTTGTGAACTTGACCTTCAAAGGCAAGCGAAGTAAAATAAAAATAAATGAATTATTCTACATCAAACTAAAAAAACTTCTGTGTAGCGAAGGAATCCATCAACAAAACAAAAAGGCCCACGACAGAAAAGAAGATGATATTTTGCCAATGATGTCTCTAATAAGGGACTAATATCCAAAATATATAGGAGTTCATGTAACTCAACAAGAACAAAAAAATACAATTTTAAAAATGGGCAGAAGACCTGAACAGACACTTTTCCAAAAGCTATCTCAAAAGATGCTCAGTGTCACGAGCTATAAGGGAAGTGCAAAGTAAAACCTCCTTGAGATACCACCTCACACCTGTTAGAGTGGCTGTGATCAATAAGACAAGAAATAACAAGTGTTGGAAGAGTGGAGAAAAGGGAACCCTTATACAGTGCTAATGGGAATGTAAATTGATACAGCCACTATAGAAAACAGTATGGAGTTTCCTTAAGAAATTAAGAATAGAGCTACCATGTGACCAGCAATCCCTCTTCTGGTCAGCTTCTAAAATAATTTGAAAACCCTTATTCGTAAAGATGTACTCCTATGTCCATCACAGCCTTACTCAGAGTAGCCAGGACACGGAAGCAGACTAAGTGCCCTTTGACACATGATTAGATAAAAGAAAGGTGGTACATCTACACAATGGAATACTACTTAGCTGAGCCATAAAAAATGATGAGGTATTGCCATCTGCATCAGCATGGATGGATCTGGAGAGTGTCATGCTGAGTGAAATAAGTCAGACGGAAGAGGGTAAGAACCACGTGATTCCATTCATATGTGGGACATAAAACAGAAGGCAATAAAGGACCAACTTACAGACGCAGAGGACAGTATGGAGGTTACCAGAGGGGAAAGGGGATGAGGGAGGAGGATGAAGAGGGTAGAGGGAGTCCAGTACATGGTGACGGGTGGAGTCTAGACTTTGGGTATTGAGCACACAATGCAATATACAGGTGAGGTGTCATAGAACTTACACACCTGAAACAAGTATCATCACTTCCAGTAGTAAACAAGCTACAATTGGATATTGACAGTTTCTAATAACCCATAACTAATTTGTCAAAGGGGGAGAATTCCCTTAGTCTGGTTTACAACAGCATTTTTATTTGGAATGATGACTACGAGTAGTAAAATGTCTTGTTATCCAAGAACGTGAAGCATGTCTGAAATTTGCTAGCGCACAGGCCCATTTTAGAATTTTGCTCCTTAAAATAATCCAAGTGTTTTGGACATTTCTGGCATTTGGTTTCTCTTTATGCTAAAGAACAATGAAATTCTAATTTGGCATAGAATCTCTTTGGGCTGAAGTCTGCATTGGGCCCATAGCAAGTAAATAGCTCTTTAATGATTCTCAATACTTGGCAAGATACCAAACCTTCGTAATACAGCTTTTTTGAAGTGAACGGTCTAGCCCTTGTGACTGCATGTCTAATGTTAACTAATCATTTGACAAGATGGTTAGACACGTGGGTTCCTTCTGCATGCATAGTCTGTTTGATAAGGAGCATAATCATTGGTAGTACTCTGTTGTACATCTAAGAGATGTGAAGTACTTAATATAGCACAGCTTTGTGTACACAATTTTTTAAAGATTTTATTTTATTTATTTCTGGAGAGAGGGGAAAGGAAGAAGAAAGAGAGGGAGAGAAACATAAATATGTGGTTGCCTCTCACATGCCTCCCAACCTGGGACTCTGCCCACGACCCAGGCATGTGCCCTGGCCAGGAGTTGAACTGGCCAGCCCTCAGTTTGCAGGCCTAGTGCACTCAGTCCACTGAGCCGCATCAGGCAGGGCTTACAGATGCTTTTTACTTTTTGTGTAACTGCTCTTTGGAGATAGGACAGGTTTGGTGGTTTCGTGCGGACAGATCCACAAAAGCCTCGTAGGAAGCAGTGGAAGGTTTTTGTTTTTTATTTTTATCACTTTGGTGATAATTATACCCAAACAGTCATTTTCTTCCTGGGAAAGAGTCAAACAGTTAAGGCTCCCTCCTGCAGTCTAGACTTCAGAAACAGGATTTCATCCTGTGAGCCTTTTTACCGCCTGCTCAGTAGTTAAGGCATTTTGGAGTTGGCTGTTGATACTGCCTTTGGGGTTAAAGCCTTGGTGCTCATGCCTAGTTTTAGAAAAGTAGTTAATTTTTTTACTCTCTAACATTTTATCTGTAAACCTGAAAAACTTTCCTAGGCAGCAAAGTTCCTTTGAAACTTAATTTATGGTTTAGCATGAGAATGAAAAGTTCTTCACATAAGTGTTACTGGAACTTTTGCTTTTCAGAATGAGATTATTCAGGTATGTATAACCTAGGAGTAGCCAGGTTTGACTGCAAATAAAATGACATGAACCTTGAACCTGGTAATACTTCAGCTTTGTAGTTTGCTGAGTAACATTGTTATTCGTATGCGTATTTTGACACCTGTGTCTGTTTGACATTGACAAAGGCCCAGAAAGGAAAACTGCAAATGTTAAATGATTTTTAATGTGTTCTGAATTTTGGAAAATAAAGGTTTTCAGCTTAATCTCACCTTGTAGGAATTTTTCTATCCCAAAATGTACTTTATGAGGCAGTAGAGATTTCCACATCCACACCCCCTTCCCCATGAAGTCTATATAATCAAGCATTACTCAGATAGGAGAATTCAGCCCTGGATTGAGTGGGGCTCAGTGGATTGAGTGTCAGCCTGCAAAGCAAAAGGTCACTGGTTGGATTCCCAGTCAGGGCACAGGCCTAGGTTGGGGGTCAGGTCCGGGGGGGGGGGGCAGGGCGGCGTGTGAGAGACAATCGATTAATGTTTCTCTTCCTCTCTTTCTCCCTTCTTCCCCTCTGTCTAAAATAAATTAAAAAATATTTTTTAAAAATTAGGGGAATTCATTTGGTTATGTATGTCAGAAGGATCCCTATTTCATCTAATTAATGCCCATTGAAATGTACCCTAATGGCATAGATATGTCAACAGATTTGGGAAATTCTGAAGGAATTTCTTCTGATTTATTGGACCAATGGAGCTATTCCCTTTTGTTTTCTTTGAATATGTTTGTCCAAGCAGACACTGGCTGTGAAATCCACCCCCTCCTTGTAATAGTTACTGTTATAGACAACCGGCGGGTGTATACACACTCTCGGAGCCAAAAATTAGTTTGGAAGAATTTAATTTTTTTTTTGCCAAGGGGTCAAATTAAAAAAAAAAAACTTTGGCCAAGCTTTACCTGCGCAGGGGCGAGCTTCCCAGATGTGACTGGAGCCACGTAGCTACCCAGAGCTACCATATGGAAGTCGCGCCTGGCTTACAGACTACGGGGCTTTTATAGGGCAGAGCAAGCAAGCGCAGGCTTACAGAAGCAGATGTGGCGGTTAGCTATTTGCTAAGTTGAAAACGGCAAAGGTCCCTGATTGGTGGGTGCTGCTGCTGGCGGGCATCTTCTGGCGGGCCCTGGTTAGTTACCTTATTTGGCTAGAACTTTGAACCCTACCGTTCCGGGATGTTTGTTCATTGCCCAGTTCCAGGAACTGCAGATGCCTAACGACTGTCTGTATGTTTCCACTAGTAATGGCTATTACATTACCATGCGGCTTACTATTGATTTCTTTGAACAGTGGGGGGGGGGGGTTGGTATGTACCACGTTTTTCACACCATAAGACACACCTAGGTTTTAGAGGAGGAAAATAGGAATAATTTTTTTTGAAGCAAAAAATGTAAAATATTTAATAATAACATAATATTTCACCAATGTAAACGTAAACAGAACCCAACAGCAGCATTAACAACCATTATTTCTCCCAAATGGAGGGTGCATCTTATAGTTCGAAAAATACTTCTACAGAAATCTGTTTAAATCAGGAATTCCGCATTTCGTGAACAACGTAAAATGTGATAGCACATTTCTTTTTACCAAAGAATATATTATTATATGGTTTCTGTTTTTTATTTACCTGCAAATCACCTATCAATTTGTTTCAAAAATGTATTACTTATTTAAAATAGCCTCCATTGCTAATAACCCAACAGAATTAAGAAAATTTAGTCAGTTTTTTTCTGCATCTTAGTTTATACAAATTTATAGTACCTGTTTAGGGGTATTGCTGCATTAGCTTCCCACATTGTGATCTAAATTTAGTTTACTTTTTTTTAAAAAGTTTCTTGTTTTCTTCTTTTTTTTAATCCACAGCTTTCCCATGGTTCGGCATGGACATTGGGGGAACGTTAGTAAAGCTCTCGTATTTTGAGCCTATTGACATCACAGCTGAGGAAGAACAAGAAGAAGTTGAGAGCTTGAAAAGTATCCGAAAATATTTGACCTCTAATGTAGCGTACGGGTCCACTGGGATTCGGGACGTGCACCTCGAACTGAAGGATTTAACCCTTTTTGGCCGAAGAGGGAACCTGCACTTTATCAGATTTCCAACCCAGGACCTGCCTACTTTTATTCAAATGGGACGAGATAAAAACTTCTCAACCTTACACACGGTGCTCTGTGCTACAGGAGGTGGTGCTTACAAGTTTGAAGAAGATTTTCGCACAGTGGGTATCTGTTCATCGAGCCAAAAGTTGATACCCATCCCCTTTAGTTTTCAAAATATGAGGCTAGGTTTCCATCTAGCATGTTTCTTAGATTAGTTCCTCCTGCTGATTCATGACTAGCTTTTGATTTGGGGCATTTAAACACCTTTACGGGATGAGAAAAAATTGCCCAGATTGGCGGTTGTTATTGACGGTTGTTGCTAAAACCTGCTCACTTTTAGGGACTACAACAATCAAAGAGACTTCAATGAATTGGGCAGTGTACAAAGCCAGATAAAAATGGGGCTTGAATTACTTTCACTGTGGCTACATTATGTTCACAGCTTTTTGAGTGTTATCCATATAGTCATCTCTCCTGAGGCCATCTTCTCCCCAAACCCCAATACTGGCATTACCACCTGAGCTCTATCTCCTGTCTACTCCCCCACTCCCCCGCCCCCCCTTCCCAGGTCCATGGAAAAAATATCTTCCACCACCCTGGTGCCAGGTGCCAAAAAGGTTGGGGACCACTGCCCTGGAGAATGCAGGAATAGGACAGTTCTTTGCTTTGCACGGCTGCCCCACCCACTGCAATGTCTGGCATCCCAAGTCCCTGCCGCTGAATCTTTAGTCTCTCTTCTTTAGTCTCTCTTCTCGTCTTTGTGAAAACTGGAGTGTCCCTACGTATTTCCAAACTGCCTCCAGAGTAACACCACCATCTCTGAGAACCAGTGGACCAGGTGACGTCCCAAAGAGACACTAACATGAAACAAAACAAGGAAAAATATGGGTGTCATAGATGACTTCGAAGTTTTGTAAAGTGCATAAAAATCATGCAGTATTATTGAGTCAGTGTTTTGAATGCTGTTCTTTGTTCACTTCATAGACCTTTTTTTTGATACCGTTTTTCCAGATTGGAAACCTCCACCTGCACAAACTGGATGAACTTGACTGTCTTGTGAAGGGCTTGCTGTATATAGATTCTGTCAGTTTCAATGGACAAGCAGAGTGCTATTATTTTGCTAATGCCTCAGAACCTGAGCGATGCCAAAAGATGCCTTTTAACCTGGACGACCCCTACCCGCTGCTGGTGGTCAACATCGGCTCGGGAGTCAGTGTCTTAGCGGTGCACTCCAAAGACAACTACAAACGGGTGACCGGGACGAGGTGAGTGGCCTTCTTTCTCTGCCGCCTGGTGCCATGTTGTATGCAAAGGTTGTGGACTCTGTTAATACTATCTTCATCAGAAAAATGTCACGTACTTGTGCCACAGCAAAGAATGTAGATGTGCAAGTGCAAGTTAAAGTGTTGCAGATAATATGTTTGAAAGGCATGTCTATGAAATGACTCAAAAAATCATTAAATATTTCTATTTGGTTAGCACAGATTGGCATTAAAACTTTTATAAAACTTTTATAGTGTAGAGAGCGAATTTTTGTTGGGAATGATTCCAGTGATTTTATTTTCCAAAGCATTTTTTTTCTTTGCTTGTATTTCATTTTTTAATTAGAGATATTTAAGCCTGAAGCTTGCCATATTCTGATTTCATGCAGAGTATTGGGCAACATTGTGATTAGTTCTTAGAGGATGAATTTAGCATGAGCTCTTTATAGGATAACATGAATGTTCCAAACATCTCTCAGACTTTCTGTTCTACCTGAACCATGAATGTGAATTCAGATTGGAAAGTTTTCCTTGTGATTCTGACATGTGCTTTATCAATTTTTAAGGAGAGTGGAGACCCCTATTTATTTTATTGAGAATGACTTGGGAATACTGTAAGACTGATTTGTGAGAGAACTCGTTTAGGTTTTAAAGTAGTACTATCTAAATGGTACTTAAATTTTATCAAATTTAAGTATTAAAGTATTTAAAGATTTCTATGTTGAGTTTAACAAAGTTAGTACTTCATTCCTATGGTGGCTGAAAAGCTGCCCCCTTGTAACTGGACGGTGCCAGCGCCCTCCCTTGCCTGCTGTGTTGCTTTTTGCGATCCCAGTTACTGCAGCCAAAAGTGCTAAACCCTAATGTCCGGAGATTAGCGATTTACAAGTTGTGAATTGCACACCGTTCTGAGCAGTGTGATGAAATCTCCACGCTGTCCTGCTCATGAATCACCTGCTTTGTCTAGTCTCTCCACAGTGGGCACACTCCCCGCCCATCAGTCGCCAAGTAGCCATCTCGGTTGTCAGACCTGCCGCTGCAGAGCTGCGGCGCTTGTATTCCAGTGACTTTCGTCTTACTTAATAGTCCCTGACCCAAGGCACAAGGGTAGTGATGCTGGCAATTCAGGTGTACCAACGAGCAGCCTTAAAGTTCTTCAAGTGCAACTTTAATAAGGAAAGAAAATAAGTTGTATGCTAAAGGAAACAAATTTTCGATGTGTGATAAATACTGTGAAGTAGGAAAAAATGCCTGCTGGTTTTGTTCTGGTACTTCAACTGCCAGCGTCGCAGCCACAGTGTGTGGTAAGTGCACAGTTACCATGGAAGAGACATTCAGTTTTTGGGTAGAAGACGTAGAGAAAATGCGCTCTGGCCTTGGTGACGTGTTGCCCCAGAGAGCACTGAGCCCGGAGGAGGACGCCGGCAAGGGGTCCCTGAGTGGGACATTCACACAACTTTTATTACAGTCCATTGCTATAATTATTCTATTTTATTGTTAGAACAATTAATTTATTATTAGTCATTGTTAAACTCTTACTGCACCTATTTACATTGAAGTTTCTCATAGGTATGTGTTGTAGGGAAAAATACGTACTGTGTGTATTGTAGGAAAAAACAGAGTACATATGTGTACTTTGTTCACTACTGCCTGTAGGTTCAGGCATCCACTGTGGGTCTTGGAACGTGGCCCCCACAGACCAGAGGGGACTACTGTATTACCCACTCAGATCAGTTCTGAACGACAGAAATGCAGCCTGTTAATTCTGACGGTGATTCAAGGATGGAAACCTGCTGCAAGTTCAGCTGAGACTTGGGGGCATGAGCTTTAATTTTAGGGAATAGAGAGACCTGGTTTTATTTTGTGAGCATATCCAAAATAATACTAGAACCAAGTACGTTTTGGCATTAACGTGATGACCAGCCTGACGTAAGTTTCCCCTCTGTATTTATTCCCGGGTCATGTTCAATGTTAATGTATCTCACTGATTGGACTTGGACCTTGTCAGGCCAAGTAAATAGACCTTTCACAAAATCATTTCCTGGAAGTCATTTAGAATCACAACTTTTCTTTTAATTTATATGCTATGGGTTTTTAACATGTGATTCTTTTCCACACACATAAAAACATTTATTCTTGGTGATAAAAATATAAAGTATCAGATGAAGTTATTGGAAGATAGAAAAGGCCTGCCTGTCCTCATGTTGCTCCCACTTTCTCTTCAGTTTATTCTTTGGTCGACAAGTTGGTATTGATTGCTAAGCATTCCTAACCTCTCCTCATTATGTTCCTGTTTCAGCATTTAGCATTAGCAGTATGTTTACAGGTTCACTAAATAATTAAATGCTCTGCTCTTCATCTTTGGAGAAGGAATACAGTGGGGAAATGCAGCCCATACATAGTGTTTATTATTATTTTTTTTAGCCTTGGAGGGGGTACCTTTCTGGGCTTATGCAGTTTACTGACTGGCTGTGAGAGCTTTGAAGAGGCGCTTGAAATGGCGTCGAAAGGTGACAGCACCCACGCCGACAAGCTGGTTCGTGACATTTATGGAGGGGACTACGAAAGATTTGGTCTGCCAGGTTGGGCAGTAGCATCTAGGTGAGTTTAACATTTATGTGGTAATTAAAGTGGCTTATTTATATCCAAGATGTATTTGTATAAGGAACTTAAACAACTTACACCAAAACAACCCCAAATAATCAAATTACAAAATGGCTAGGGGCCTGAAGAGACATTTCTGCAAAGAGGTCACACAGGTGGCCAGGAGACATGAAAAGATGCTCAGCATCATTAATCATCAGAGAAACGCAAATTAAAACCACAAAGAGATCACCACACACCTGTGAGAATGGCCACCATCAGTGAATCCACAAACAAGTGTTGGCGAGGTCATGGAGAAAAGGGAACCCTGGTGCACTGTTGGTGGGAATGCAGACTGGGGCAGCCACTGTGGAAAGCAGTGTGGAGGTCCCTGAAAATATTTAGTGTAGAACTGCCACATGACCCAGCAATCCCACTTTTGGGTAATTATCCAAAGAAATCCAAAACTAATTTGAAAAGACACATTCACCTCTGTTCATTGCAGTGTTATTTATAATAGCCAACATACAGAAGCAACCCAAGTGTCTGTCCACAGGTGATTGGATGCAGAAGTTATGGTATGTGTGTGTAATGGAGTATTACCTGGCCATTAAAAAAAAAAAGAATGAAATCTTTCCATTTGCAACAACATGGATGGACCTAGCGGGTATCATGCTAAGTGAAATAAGTCAGACAGAAAGATAAATACCATATGATCTCCCTTATGTGGAATCTAAGATACAAGAAAAATGAACAGACCTACAGATACGGAGGAGCGTCTTAAGATGCACAAATTGCCAGATGTCATAACGGTCACAGGGTGAATGAAGTACAGCACAGGGAATACAGGCAGTAAAAGGTAGTAACTGTGGTGTCAGACGGCACTAGACTTCATCCAAATGATGATTTCCTAAGTTATATAAATGTCTAACCACTATGTTGTACACCTGAAACATACAGTATTGTATGTCTACTATAATTGAAAATGAAAAAAAAAAAAAATGAAGTCGGCCTGGCATGCCAGAGCATCGTTGTGACCCCGAGGTTTCCAGTTTGACCCCCAGTCAGGGCACGTCCGAGAATCAACCCGTGCATGCATAAATAGATCTGTATTTCTGCTTCTCCCTTTCCCTCCCCGCCTCTCTCTAAAACCAATAAAGAAAAATTAAAAATAAATGAAGTCGCCTACTCAGTTTTCAGAAAGCACTAAACACATCAGGACATTGTACGGGGGCTTCCTCTACACCAGTGTAGGCTCCAGGGTTTGGACACTGACTTGAACATTAGATACTGGAAGTCTTCCTGGGTACAGCCTGTGGGGAAGCACTTCTGTTCTGGAGTACCCTTCTAGTGATTTCTCTATGCAAATACACAATCATATCCTGCCCTCCCCTTACATAAAAGGTAACATTCATGTGCCACTGAGTAGCATACTATGTTTTTTTTTTTTTTAAGATTTTACTTATTTTTAGAGGGAGAGAAACATTGATGTGTAAGGAAAGCATTTCTGTGGGTTGACTGTCACACACCCCATCCGGGGGACCTGGCCTGCAGCCCAGGCGTGTGCCCTGACCAGAAATTGAACTGGCGACCTTCCGGTTGGCAGGCCAGCCCTCAATCCTGAGCCACACCAGCCAGGGCTGTATAGACTCTTCAACAGCAGTATAACCCCGTCCCAGTATAACGGGAATGTCTGTCTCTCTGCCCGCCTCCCTCCCTGCCTTCCTCCCTCCATCCCCCTTTTCTTCCCTTGTCTTTCTCCCTCCCTCTCTTGTTAATAGCTGCACGATATGTCGTTGTTTGATGTTTGGGTTGGTGCCATTATTTTGCTATGTACAGTTTATTTGATCAATGAATAACATTGTGTATGTGTAGATTTATCTGTTGAAGAAATTCCCAAATGTAGGAAATACTGCTTTTTATCTGCAGGTTTGATTTTGTTTGCTTTTTCATTTTTCTGCAGTTTTGGCAACATGATTTACAAGGAGAAGCGAGAATCTGTTAGTAAAGAAGATCTAGCAAGAGCTACTTTAGTTACCATCACCAATAATATTGGTTCTGTGGCACGAATGTGTGCTGTTAATGAGGTAAGCATTTTAATTATTTGAAAGATGGAGATCTGTGTACAAACAGCGAGGCTTCTTCCCGGTCTTAAGGAGGCCTATCAAATGCAGGCCTAGTGCGTGAGACCCCAGGACCCACTAAGTGTGTGTGTTCTGTACCTGTTGTTACATTACCTTTAAAGAAAGTAGCCCGTAATTCAAGTTGGAAATTGGACAAATTGACATTTGTTCCACCTTGGAAATACAGTCCCGTGCTGTTAGTGGGCACGCTCTGAGGAACGGGCCATCGGGTGATTTCACTGTTACGTGAACATCACAGAGCGCACTTACCACAAACGTAGATGGCGTGGCTTCCACGCCCCTAAGCTGCCCAGCAGAGCCTGGTGCTCCTGGGCTATGAACCTGCACAGCATTACTACACAGAGCAGCACGAGAAAAAGAGGGTGCCGTCCCGGCAGGCCAGGCTCAGTTGTTTGGTCGAGTGTTGTCCTGTCCACTAGAACGTCACGGGTTCTGTTACCACCCGGGGCACACGCCCAGGTTGTGGGCTCTGTCCTGGTTGGGGGTGCACATGAGAGGTAACCAGTCGATGTTTCTCTCTCCTACCAGTATTTCTCTCCACCCCTCCCCCCTCTCAAATCAACAAACACATCCTCAGGTGAGGATAAAAAGTACAATTAAAAAAAAGAGACCCAGCGAACACGAGATATGTGAGGCTGCTGCCAGTGTAACGTGGCATCCTGTTCTGCAGCAGACTTTATTTTCGGAAGCAGACAGAGTGTGCTCTAGAATAACAGTAAAAGGTACAGCCCGGTGAATACATGAACCAGTGACACAGTCGTTACCATGGTCAGACCTTCTGTGCCATGCTTTGATGTGACCCACAACGCCGTGGCTTGTTCACACCGGCATCACCACAAAGACTTGAATGACGTGCTGCGCTGCAGCATCTCTAGGCAACGGGAATGTCTGGCTCCAGTATGATTTTACGGCCTCCATCCTATTTGTCGTCCAAAATGTTGTTAGGGAGCGCGTGGCTGTACACGACCTAAATCTCTTGAAGACGTAAGAGAAAAAAGCAGTGGGTTTTGTTTCTTTTTTTATTTTTGTTAATGTTGCATCTGATGAGTGGGGTGCTCAGAGGTTCTCTCGCTGCCCTCGGCTTCTTTACAGTGCTGCCTTGTTGCATATGGATCAAGCAGCATTGTACAGGGCTATGAAGGCGCCGAGACTGCTCTTCGTGGGAAGCGCGGGTTGTCTGTGCTGCCAGACTCGTATCGGGGTGCTTTTACAGTATTTGGAGGGGGCTACAAATACTGTAAAATACTTGCTGTCCCGTGGTAGACACGTTTGTCCATTTTATTTTTGCAAATATCAACATTTGTTTTTTGAAAGAACCCTTCATTTGTACCTTCATTCATGTGTTCATTGAATGAACATTTACATATCCCTGTGTGCCAGGCACTGCTCTGGGCACTTGGGATACGTTAGTGAAGAAAACAGTGACCTGACTCTGACATCTACTCTGTGACGTAGTAGATAAATAAGTTCATTACTTATTTTGTATTAGTGACAAAAAGAGAAGATCCAGCAAGAGAATGGAGCGTGGCAGGGGGCAGATTGCTGGGTAATTGGGTGGTTGAGGAGGCTTTACTGAAAGTGTGACATTTGGGCAAAGATTTGAAGGAAAGGAAAGAATTATACCCGTAGATATTGGGGGTGAGTGGAGGCTCCAATAGAACAAAAATTCAATTTAATCCTCTGGATTACTGTTTGAATCCACAATTGTATCTTCAGTTTCTTTTTTTAAACAAAATTTTAAAAGATTTTATTTATCTTTAGAGGGGAAGGGAAGGAGAGAGGGAGAGAAATATCAATGTATGGTTGCCTCTCATGCATCCCCTGCTGGGAACTGGCCTGCAATGCAGGCATGTGTGCCCTGACTGGGAATCAAACCGTGATCTTTTGGTTCGCAGGCCTGCATTCAATCCACTGAGCTACACCAGCCAGCGCTCTTCAGTTTCTTAATAACAGTGTTGTTAGGTTGGTGGAGGGAGTCACTAGTCTGCATCTTAACCCTGGTTTTAGGAGTATTTCACTTTGGGACCTTCTTTCCTTAGCCCTGTAGGTCTAGATTTTCACTGGCCAGTTGTCTTCACAGCAATGAAGGCCGTAGTGTACACGGTCGCTTTCAGTGTGGAGACGTGTTACTCGGAAAGTCAGTACATTATTGTGGGAGTATCGATAGGTTTTCTGGAGACACTTCTGGAGAATGCCAGTGCCTCCATCTAAGGTTTTCCTTCAGTCTCGTCAGCAATGTTTCTTCAAGTTGTTACATTCACTGGGTTATTTCCTGGCCTTTTCAAAAGCAGGTCTCATCTATAATCATTTACTAGGGTCTTTTCCAGAACTTTTCTTTTTTAAAATAGACTTTATTTGTGGGGGAGGAGTATAAGTGGAAGAGGCTATAGGGAAGATAAATGGTAATGGGAAAAATACAGTTAAAACAGACTTTGGTTTTTAGAGCAGTTTTAGGTTTAGGGTCACGGCAAAAACGAGCGGGAAGTGCAGAGACTCGGCGTGTCCGTGCCCTCACACGTGCACAGACCTGGCACCGCGTCGGCACCCTCCCTGCAGCCCGCGAGCCGGCGCTGGCATGTCGTTGCTGCCCAGAGTCCGTCGTTTACATCTGGGTTCTTCGCTCTGGGTGTGCGTTCTCTGGGTTTTGATAAATGTATAGTAACATACCCAGAGCTAATATTTTAAAAAATACAGGATTATGGAGGTAAATACCAGGAATGTAGCAAGCCCTAATAAAAGGTTACTTGTTTACATTTTTAAGTAGAGATTTTGTAAAGCCTTTCATATTGTAAAATTGACTTATAATGCCTTCTTGAAGTCATTTTCTTTTTTTCTTTTCTCTTAGAAAATAAACAGAGTTGTCTTTGTTGGAAACTTCTTACGAGTCAATACGCTGTCGATGAAGCTTCTGGCGTACGCACTGGATTACTGGTCAAAAGGGCAACTAAAAGCGTTGTTCCTGGAGCATGAGGTACGGCAACCAAGCGCCCTGTGAGTTTGAGTAGCTTTGGTACGCTCCAGGTGTTGCGTCTTGCTTGGCGTCGTAAGTGAGGCACAGAGCTACAGTTCGCCTGAACGGTGTATTGGTTCTCTCACTTCAGTCTGAGATAGGGCGGGGGGTGCTGTGACCTGGCCAGCACCCCGTTAAGATGAGAACTTCACAGTTCTTCTGAGAGGGAGAGGACGCCCGCAGTTCCGTGAGCTTCTTCAATACCCGGCTGCCGCATACTCGGTGGATTGTTTGGGTTTTTTTGTTTGTTTTTATTGTTTTCTTTTCATTTTATTTTCTTCCCTGGGGTAACAAATGTGAAGTGTGAAGAATAGGAAACTATATAATTTAGCAATGAAAATTCTCCCTAGTCTTCCCACCACCCCACTACAGCCTCACCCTCCTGCCGGAGGTAACCACTGTTAGCATTTGGGAGATTATTGTTCTAGTTTTTTCAGGACCTCCCCCCCCCCCCCCCATATTTGTTAATTACAGTCAAGTTAATTTTTTTTTTTTTTAAGATTTTATTTATCTTTAGAGGGCAAGGGAAGGAGAGAGGGAGAGAAACATCAATGTGTGGTTGCCTCTCATGCATCCCTGGCTGGGAACTGGCCTGCAACCCTGGTATGTGCCCTGACTGGGGCCTTCACAAACCCACACTCAATCCACTGAGCTATACCAGCCAGGGAGAATACAATTTTCTTTTAAGATATTTTTTTTATTTTTAGAGAGAGAGGGAAAGGGAGGGAGGTGCAGAGGGAGAGAAACATCAGTCGGTTGGTTGCTTTTTGCACGCCCCCAGCTGGGGATCTGGCCAGGCATGTGGCCTGATCAGAATCAAGCTGCCGATACTGGTTCACAGGCCAGCACTGAGTCCACTGAGCCACACCAGCTAAGGCCAAAATTCTTAGTAAGAGCTGACAAAACAGAAATTGGTATGTTTCTGGATAGGTGTTCTTAAATAAGGATAATATAAATACTTGTTTTTAGTTTTCTTTTTAAATATTTTATTTTTTTTATTTTGGAGGAAGGGAGGGAGAAAGAGAGGGAGCGAAACATCAATGTGTGGTTGGTTGCCTCTCGAGTGCCACTTAACTAGGAGCCCGGCCTGAAACCCAGGCATGTGCCCTGACTGGGAATCAAACCAGCAACCCATTGGTTCAATTGTGGATCAACACTCAATCCACTGAGCCACGCCACCTGGGGCTAAATGTGTGTTTGTAACTGGTTAGTTCTGTGTGCTCATTTAAAAAAGCAGCACTACATTAACAATTGTTCTAAAATTTTACAGGGGTACTTTGGAGCAGTTGGTGCACTTCTTGGGCTGCCGAATTTCAGCTAAAGCATCAGGTTTTTCTCTGCTAATGTCACCCAGGAGGAACTGCAAACCAGAGGCGTTTTATTGTGTTATTGTCACTGGGAACCAAAGGATGAAAGAGTAGCACTATTTCTGTTAATTTTTAAATGTCAAAACAGTAAAGCTGCTAAATGTTGCCATATTACAGTGAGAACTGGGTAGCAGGTAAAGTGTTTCCGACTGAAATGCTTTCCCCTCTGTACATAGCCAGTGTTCGATCCTTAAATGCAATACAGCCTCTGATTATTGACCTTCTCTCAAAAAGATTTTCTATTTTACGTAGCCAACATCGCGGTACTGTACGCTTAAACGTAAATCTATAAAGTCTCAGACGTGTTTAGCTCATGAAAATAATGAATTCTGAGTGTGTGTTACAAGTCTGTTCTGTGTGTGCTTTGATTACTGGTAAGCAGACAGTAACGTACCCTGTATCAAAATTAATTGAAATGGCAATCAAGGATGATCATTTTTATGTGATTTTAGAAATGTTAAGGGAATATTAATTATTCATTATCATAGTTTTCCTAACATACCCCCACCAGAATCATGTTTTTATCTTTTCCCAGAAGTACAACCTTTTACAAATGCTATAATTTAATTGAAATACTGTTCTTAAATAGCAGTCTTAATTTCCAACAGATACTAGAAAATGCACATATTTGGTGGCATTGCACTTCCTGTATTTTATTCGTTAACAGTATATTTTAAAATGCTTAATTTCTTAATTGGACGTTTAATCACTTACTTGAAAGTCCGTGATGAGGCCCGGGGACTGCTCTGGTGGAGTGTGGTTTGCGTGGGGGAGTTCTTCCTGTGCCACAGGCCTGCCAGGCCCAGACTCAGCGCTGCCTGTTTAATTCAGTCTGAACCATCAGAGCTAAAGGCTTGTTTCTATTACGAACAGCAGCGAAATCACCCTTATTCTAAGTTGATGGTATGGCAGTCCAAGAGCTGTTTTGGAACTCTGCAGCTGAGTCAGTGCTGCAGAATTTTGAAAGAATCAGTGTTCTGTACGTTCTGGTGATAAAAGAATTATAGTTCCAAAACTTACAAATCTCTTGGCCTTAGAATTTGTTCTCTATTCTGAATTATTTTTATACTGTTATAAATCTTTCCAGATTTTCACTTTGGTAGGTCAGCAAAGTTGTGAAACTATTTCTCATGGTTTATGAGATAGGGAGACTTAGGAAAACTATTCACTTCCTTAAATTATCAGTAAAGCAGAATGTGCTTTGAAGAAGAGCTTAAAAGTTGTTTACAGGAAGAAGTATTACGATGTGTTTTTACAGAATCCAGTTTTGCCCCATAGAGAATAGTTTCCAGCAGACTATCAAGAGGTGCTTGATAAAGACATTTCTCAATATTTTCAAAACTTATGTTCAACTACTTAAATTTTAGTTTTTTCTACCTAAAGACATTAACATGAATAATAGAAGTGAATGTGTAGAGGGGAAAGTATATCCATGTAAGTTTTTAGAATATTTAGAACTTTGAATTCATGTCAATCAGTAGTCACTTAGAAAACCTACTGCTAAACATTAGTGTTTCCATTGTAGACTAGATCATTTCAGCCAAACGTTATCTATTCAGTTTATTGAAAAATGTGTTGATCTGGGCATCTGTACAAAAGTTTTCTTTTGAATGACCATGACTTCCCGTCCTGTTTCCTCGGCACACTGTCCTCCCACCATTAGCGGTCGCAGGGCGGGGTGGTCTGTAAGAAGGAAGAGCAGGGGCCACAGTCTCAGCTCATTGGACCAGCACGCTGCTCCGTGTGCGGCTGGGGTTCGGACTTCTCGTCCCTAAGGATCAACAACCATCTGATGGATCGCCTGTGCAGGGACTGCCGCCTCAGTGTGCTTGCACTTGGCTTTTCTCGAGTGTGCTCTAGAATTAGGGTGAAGGCTGCCAAAAGTCCAGTTTTTGATTCTGATCTCAAGGGATTGCTTGAGAGAACACGAAGGTGAGTGGGTTCAGGGCCGATCCCAGTCCGTGTAATGCCTCAAGGCTCTGCTCGTGGAGGGTGCTGGTGGAAGTGTGGCGTGAGCCCCACGGGATTTCACACTTAGCGTTACCCAGAGACTGGTGAGGTGCCGTTTCATTATGTATTTCTATTTAATTCAGTGTACCCGGTGTGTTATTTCAACGTGTAATCAATACTAAAAGTTATCTAGGAGATATTATACTTTTTTTGTACTTAGTCTTCAAAACCAGTTTGTGTTTTAATACTTACAGCACATCTCAGTTGAGACCAACCACACTTCAAGTTCTCAGGGGCCACATTAGGGCAGTGGCTCCTGTATTAGTGCCATTTTAGAGCTGGCTCTTAAAAAGGAGTGCCATCCCAGGTCCATGGAAACGTCACGAATGGGCTTTTAAAAGAATGTTTGAGAGGGGAGAGATGTGGGAAACTTATCTTTTAAAAAGAGGGGATAGGAAGTAGCTTGTTTGGACTAGTTCACTTTATACAGAAAAGCTGTGTTTTTTAAAATATTTATTTTTAGAGAGAGGGGAAGGAAGGGAGAAAGAGAGGGAGAAAAACATCAATGTTTTTGAAACACCCCCTACTAGGAGCCCAACCTGGCTTGCAGCCCAGGCATGTGCCCTGACTAGGAATCAAACCCATGACCCTTTGGTTTGCAGGCTGGTGCTCAGTCCACTGAGCCACACCAGCCAGTGCATATATTTCTGACCATTCCAAAAATACCTTATGTTGCCTTCCAGTGGCATTGTGGTACATCTCAGCTTTTCCAGTGACAACGATAAAGTTGCCCAAGACACATTCCGTCTGTCCTCAGCAGTCCCCAGAATGCACATCCCCTTCCCTGAAGCAAATTGGACGAGGCCAGTGACTTCAGTTTGGCCCCACATTAGCTAATTTCATTTTGAGAGGCTAGTCTTAAGGGATTAAAAAGAAGCCCTATTAATTCTTTGTTGAGTTACATAAACAAAAGAGAATCTTTAATTTTTGGGTTTAATTTTCATTCTTAAGAACTCCGATAACATTTTTCAAATGCAGGGAGCACCGTCAGTTGTTTTGAGGCTTAGTAAAGGACACAAAGTCTAGAACTTTGCACCACCGAAACCACCCCTCAGAAAGGACCGCCTTTTAACTAGAGACTGCAGAACTAATGCCTTTCAGTTCTACACCCTGACTTCTCCAAAGACAGAGTATTAGTCGACGTGCCTGCCTGTTAACATGGGCAGTTCCTTGTTCAGATGCTCCAACTGAAATACATGGACCCTCAATTAGCCAGCGCTACACGTGGTAATTGACCATTCCTTAACAGGTTTGGAATATTTGCCAAATGTTAGGCTCTATAAAGGTTGCTGAGTTTCTTGCCTTTGTGTGCAGATGTGATTGCCGTACTGTACATCCTGGCTTCTGAAAGTTTCCTTTCTGTGAGCTGAGTGGTGCGGCCAAGAGGGAGAGTCACCCCTCCATCGGGCGGTGATTTCTAAGGCTGCGTTCTCGGGTGGAATGCTGAGCAAGGCGAGAGCTTCCAGATGTCCTTTGTAACCACTGTTTGAGATGGAAAGTTTTTCATAGTTTGTTCATCATTTGGGGTGGGGGGAGAATGTTCTTCAATCTATTGCATTCGAGAATGTAGTTTAGAAATTCTCCTTTAAAGCCATGTCAAGACTGAAAGAATAACCACCAAAAAAATAAGTGTGCATTATTTTTCACTTAATTTTGTTTTGTGGTCTATATAAACAAAGTACTAGAAATACATTGCCTTTTGTAATAATACTGTTTGACCTGTTGGAGATGATTTGCCAGGAAATGTCAGCGATGGCCTGTTTGCCCAATAAGTTGGTTTATTTTAGTGTTTTATTGTAATACTGAAGGAATTTGGCCAACTTTGTTTCTATCATCAGATAATCTCAAAATAATGTGCTTTATACTAACACCTACTTTCAATATTTTAGACAGTAGTTGTCTTATATTTTCTACTGAGCCTGGTAATGGGCAATGACCCAAATAGGAGTTTTTTCCTCCTTTAAAGTATTGAGTAACCTGTCTTTAAAAATGGTGTTGTGGAGAGTGACTGGGCCCAGCTTTTCAGCCATCTCTGACTTTTGAGTGATGTCTGCTTGCAAATGTGCAAATGTCTTGGCAGCCCCTGGAGCTTCTCGTGTCTGCCTGCGTGTCCAGTAGACGCGGGGTCACCACTTGGTGTTGTGTTAGGAACAGTACCTGTGACCGGTCTGGCTTTGCTCAGTGTGATTTCCTTTACTTATAAAATGAGGACGTTGATTCCTTACAACGGGATTGCCAGTTATCAGGTTCCTGGGAAAGACAGTTACTTGCTTTGTTTGTGGCAACAATTAAAAGTCTGGTCACATATTAGCATCATGTGTTAGAATTAATTCCATCTGTTCACATTGACTGGTACTAGACTTTGAATTCCCACCCAAACCAGTAGCATGGTGTCGGTTATTTCTCATCACATTAAGTTATTGCCTATAATGGCCAAATAGATAACTTTAAAGCAATATGAAGGGGTGTGTGTATATTACAGTGTGTGTGTGTGTGTTTGTGTACTTTAATTTGTACAACTATCTGGGATTTTCGTTGTGCTGGCTTCAAAGTTACATGGGCATTATAACTTTATTTACATTCTGGCTCTTTCTGTAGTCAAAAGTTAGTTTTCTTACACATTTTTAGCTGCCACTAATTTTGTTTTTAAAAGAACTAATAATGAGGATTGTATTTTTCAAAGGAGTGAATGAAGTTAAAAATTAAGATTTTGGATTATATAAATTTGCAACTAAATTTCGGTTTTAAAATAGTGCTTTTTTTTTTTTTTTGCTGTTAACATCTTTCATACATTGCAGTGCTTACAGTTTGGCAGCTTTTCAAAGGAAGCGTCAGCTTTGATATAATTCGTCAAGTACAAGTGCGTACTGCAGACAGTTTGCGGTCCTTCTAGCCGTCCACCCCGTCTGTGCGTTGTGTGGTGATCTCACCTGGCAGTCAGGAGTTGTCACAGATGTTAAGCCATTTTAAAATTTGCCACTTTTTTATGAGGTACGCTTTTTAGTTTATAACATTTAGAATGAGAGGTAACTTTATACACCTGACATCAATTCACTGGTCTCCTTGTCCAAATATAATGAATGGAAGTAGATGTCAATCATGTTAAGATGGTTTCTCATTTTTATACATTGTGTGCTCTCGCTTTTTTTGACTTTTTAAACAAGTTCATTTGTCTTAATTCTGCCCAGTTACTGACCAAATCATACGTAGGCATTTGTATGGGCTGAGTTTGTTCACACAAGCCACTTCCGTGTGAGCTGCCTTACTCTGCCGCGTCCTCCCGTCCAGTCCAGCTGAGTGTGTACAAACCGCTGACACTGAACCTCTGATGTAAAGATGTACGATGTATAATGAACTAAGTTATAGCCTGTTGTAACCTATAAAACATTTCGTGTAAATTGTCTAATTTATTTTTTCATTTATGTACAGTTTCTTATGTAAATTTTTAAAATACTCGTGGCCTGTTCTGGAACATCTCATACTCCTCCTTAATGCTGCTTTGCATGAAAGAAACTTGGGTTTTGCTGGTTCGCGTCGTATGGCCACTGAGCCAGCTTCAGTCCTCTGCCTTCTTTTCTGTAGTTTAACTTTTTCTAGTGTTGTTCATATTCTAAGTAAATGTTAAAGTCCTGCTTATTTCCTACTTTCCAAATAAATTCTCTAAGTTGTTTATTCTGCGTATCCTTTTGTTACTTCTTTATTCTATATGTTGTGCTCCCTCATTTCCGTTCTGGTTCCCTGTAAGGTTCCACTGGAACCAGCTATGGCAAAAGGGAAGCTGGAGCAAGGGCTTGTACAGGCTCTGCCCTGTGCCCAGGCCCGGGCACGGAGTGGGCCCGCACTAGACAAACGCACGCCGAGGGAGTGAGCCGCAGACTGTACCTCCTGGGTCTCCCTGCGAGGATGGTGACAGCAGCTCACCGCCTTCCTCTCCACAACGTTGGGAAGCACAAGCATTAGTTCTTTGGAGATGCAGGCCTTGAGTGTAAGGCAGTCTGTTAACACGTGTAAGGCTCTGCTTTTCCTTGGAAGGCGTGTCCCCTCACGCTAGCCATGACCGCGCACAGCACCTCGTCTCTCCAGGCTGCTAGCTGCACCCCACAGCAGATGTGGCTACAGTTCCCTCTAACCCAAACTTCACGTATTTCTTTTTAATGGGCAGTGCCTGCCTGTTAAATATAGGTAAACAGAAAGACGGGTGATCTTTCTTAACGTGAAGAATGAAGTTGAAGACGGATTTGCATGGCTGTCTAGACACGCTGACGTCGTGTGCAGTGCACACCCTCCCCGTTTAAAAGGAAAACCAGTGAGCAAGAGCTGGGGTGAAAACTGTGACACGGTAACTAGGGTGAAAGGAGGCATGTGGTGTGGAAATGCCAGGTTTGAGGGGTAAGTACAGGTGCACTTGGGAATAAGCCATGGACCGTGAAAGCAGTCTGGGGCTGCGAAACACACTGGCCTGGATTCTACACCCAGGCCACGTATGCTCTGAAAGCCACTAATATTTCAGCTTCTAAAGTCTACCGATCACTTTCTACATTAAAAGCTTAATAAATTCCTTTTTTAAAGATAATTCTGCTTCTGAATTTTGAGGACGTTTACATTTTGTTTCCTAAAATAAACTTTAAAAACCTGACTTGTCTTAGGGACCTTATCCTCTTAACTTAAAAGCTGGTACTTTTTTAAAAGTCCTGGGACTTCCACCAACATGGAGGCATAGGTGGAGATGCCCGCGCCTTCTCACACAACCAAGTTTAGAGACAACTAAATATTAGCAACAGAAAACACAGCCAGAACACAGAAAATTGAACTTTTCGGAAGTCTGATAACAACGAATGCTTCAGCCTGACCGGTACGAGGGGCGAAACCAGCAGCTGGTGGAGCGGGGTTGCACAGGAAAACTCGGTCAGACGACTCAGGCGCGCGGATCCCAGGCGTGGGGGTTGCAAGGGGCCAACCCAGTGAGCCACCTAAGTGAGTGAGACCCAGTGAGTGACCGGCAGATCCGGTGAGGGTAAAGGGCAGTGGGTTGACGGTGCTGGTGCGTTCCTGTGCAGATAGACCGGCGAGGGAGTAGGCAGTGAGACGGGACTGAGCGGGTCCCAGCGACGTGAGGCAGCAGAGATGGCCACCATTTCCCGGCTCTGACCCCGCCCCCACATACAGTGTCACAACCCAGCAACCCCGCCCTGGAGGCCCCGCCCCGCCCCTAAGGCTCCGCTCCTCATACTTAATGGGCACGAACGGACCAAAAATGGCTCAAGAACTCAAAGCCCCAGAGCCCATAAATCTAAGTGACAAAGAAATGGCAAAACTTTCAGATGCACAGTTCAACACACTGGTGATCGGGATGCTCACAGAACTGGTTGATTTTAGTCACAAATTAGAGGAACATATGAAGGCTAAACTAATTGAAATGAAGGGAAATGCACAGGAAAACAATAGTAATGGAAAGGAAACTAGGACTCGAATCAAAGGAGTAGACCAGAAAGAAAGAAAAAAATGACCAACCAGAAAAGAAACAAGAATTCAAAAAAATGAGGAGAGTCTTAGGAACCTCCAGGACATCTTTAAGTGCTCCAACATCCAAATTATAGGGGTACCAGAAGGGGAAGAGGAAGAGCAACAACTGGAAAACTTATTTGAACAAATAATAAAGGAGAATTTCCCCAATCTGGCAAAGGAAATAGACTTCCAGGAATCTCAGGGAGTCCCAAAGAAGTTGGACCCAAGAAGGAACACACCAAGGCACATCATCATTACATTAGCCAAGATTAAAATGAAAGAATCCTAGAAGCAGCAAGAGCTAAGGGGACAGTCACCTACCAAGGAGTTCCCATCAGACTGTGAGCTGATTTCTCAAAAGAGACCTTACAGGCAAGAAGGGGCTGGAAAGAGGTATTCCAAGTCATGAAATCCAAAGACCTACAACCAAGGTTGCTCTATCCAGCAAAGCTTTCATTTAGAATGGAAGGGCAGATTAAGTGCTGCTCAGATAAGATCAAATTCAAGGAGTTCATCATCACCAAGCCCTTATTATATGAAATGTTAAAAGGACTTACCTAAGAAAAAGAAGATAAAAAAGATGAACAGTGAAAGGACAGCAAACTCACAGTTATTAACAACCACATCTAAAACAAAAGCAAGCTAAAAGGACAGCTAGATCAGGAGCAGAACCATAGAAATGAAGATCTCATAGAGGGTTAGCAACAGGGGAGTGGGATGAGGAAAAGCGGGGAGAAGGTACAGAAAATAAGTAGCATAGACGATAGGTAAAAAATAGGGGGAGGGCAAGAATAATGTGGGAAATACAGAATCCAAAGAACTTGAGACACATGGTCATAAAATAAAGGGGGAATGGTAGGGGGGGTGCAGGGTGGAGGGGAATAGAACAATTGTAATGACATAATAATAAAAAAAAAAAGTCCTCACCCAAGGGTGTTTATTGATTTGAGAGAGAAACATCAATCAATTGCCTCCCGTATGTCCCCAGGTCAGGAATGGAACCTGTAACCTTTTGGCGTATGGGACGATGCTCCAACCAACTGAGCTGCCCAGCCAATGCTCAGGCGTATTTTAACATCCATGTGCCTCACGTGCAGAATGAGGCTCATGTTCAGCAGGCATCAGAATCCCATGGCCCAGACACAGATCGTACTTCCCAGCTCCCTTGTGGAGCAGGTTTATATGACTGCTTCTGGCCCACTCCTGAGTGAGTTGTGCCTGAGAACTTGGGACAGGCGCCCTCCTCTCCCTCCGGTATCACAGCCAGCACCCTTAAGCTGGTCCGTGAGTCCAGACCCCTAAGGGAGTCAAATTGAGAGAGGCCCCTGTGTCAATCTCCCACAAAAGAATGAACGTGCTATACCGTGAGGAAGGGAAATTTCCTTTAGGCCCAGACTGGGGGGCAGCTAGCACAGCACAACCGGTCTGATACAGGGATGCCAACTGGGAGAAGTGGAAGCCCACGGGAGAGCAGAACCCTACAGGACGTGGGGCCAGCAGCAGAGAAACCTGGGGGAAAATGGCCATCCTTATGGGGAAGAACCACTTCAGACACCTGATAACCTGGAAGGTAAGGTAATGTGCCAGTGAAGGAGCTTAGGAGAAGTCAGAAAACCAAGTGGTACTAGCATAGATTGGCAGCTTTGTTTCCATTTAATAATTTGCTTTGAGCTGCAGGCAGGTTCAGGAAAGACCTGGCCAGTTTGCGAGCAGAAATGAAGACGGGGACGAGGACTAAAGCAAGGAAGCTACTATAATGAGGGACCGTGAACGCTTAGCTGGGCAGCGGGGGTGTGAAGACGGGCAGGGGAGTGGAGGGGACGCTAGAAAGCTGGTGCCAAGGGGTGGGAAGTCCTGTGGGGGTGCACTGGGGTTCCTAAAGGCAGTGGGGAGACGAAATCGGCGGTGAGGAAGGAGGTTTGGGTGGCAGAAGATTAAAATCTCAGGCGCAGGTGAGAAAGCCAATGCCTCCCTCCATAGAAACCGCCTCCGGTGTCATTGTCCACGATTCTTCCCACCTAGAACGTGTGTGCAGAGGACGCTTTATTGGCTTGTGCACTGGAAACCTCTGTGGTTTTGTGAACCAATGTCATCGCAATAAATCCAATTAAACAATTCAGCTTACCTACCGAACATCATAGCTTAGCCTGATCTACCTCTCATGTGCTCCAGACACTCACATTAGCCTCCACTCAGGCAAAGTCACAGAACACAAGGCTACTATATAAGAAGGCACTGAAAACCCGTGTATTTATTGCACACTGAAAGTGAAAAGCACAGTGGGGGCATGAGGACCCGCCATTAACATACACAGCAGAACACACCAGCACGCAGACACCTAACGTGATGGGAAACCAGGAAACAGCATCCGGAGACCACTGGTGACGCACCGCACCGCACCGCAGAGTATCTTTGTTTACTCTTGAGGTCCTGGGGCGCCTGGGAGCTGGCTCGCTGCCACTGCCCAGCGTCACGAGAGAGAATCCCACTCACATATCACCAGCCCGGGAAAAGATCAAAAATCGAAATATAAGGTACTGAATATGTATGGCTTTTGCACCACCATCAAGTCGAGAAATGGTGAAGTTGCATCAGCCTGAGCCTAGGCCCACCTGTAAACACTTAACTCTCGTTCCTGGCCCCTTGCTGTTGAGCCCCTCGGGCACGTGGCGGTGCAGCCGAGCTTCTGCCCGGCACTGTCCACACGCAGCGCCGTCTGCCTCCTCGTTTTCAGCCACAGACACCAACCCTCCTCTTTGGAATCTGGGGGGCATCCTGTGCCGTCCCGGAGGCCCCAGGTACCGGCCGTTGCAACAGAAAAGCTCAGCTGTTATTCAAAATACTGTCCTAACCCTGCCTTTCCCAGTGAAAGACGAGAATGGCACGGGATTTCAGGCAGCGGGTATCAGCCCTGCACGCATATTAGAATCAGCTGGGGGACTTTCAATACCGCTGAAGCCCAGCCTTCCCCAGAGCATCTGGTTTTAATTTCACTGACTTACAGAAGGGAGACAGTCTGCTGCACAACATCCCCATTCTCCATTTTCTAGCTGCACTACCTTGTCTGAACCTTGTCCCGTGGAGTGAGAAGTCCACAGGGAACAACTGCCATGCCCCCGGAGCCCGTGTCCCCACCTTCCAGACCAAGCAACAGGCACAGGGAAGCCGCTTCCACTGTGTTCTCCGGGCCGGACCTCCTGAGTTTGCAATTCTGGTCCCGAGGGTTGGCTTGAAGGAGGCTGTTTGAAGGGCCGGGGGCCTGGGAGCATGTACAAAGATGTGGCCGGCGAGGCCTGCCAGGGTGTGGGGACAGACTGGGGGGTGGGAACAGAAAGGGGCAGGCCACAGCCAGGCCAGACAGGCCTGGGCGGAGGCCTGGACACCAGGGCTCATTTCACAGCAGGTCATGAAGCTGAACGTTTACGTTTCAGTGTTTTCCGGTAAAGATGGTTCACGTTATCAGTTTTAAGACAACATACAGGGTCCGGCGCAAATAACGCCCCTGCTTTATTACAAAACCTCTCACTACTAAATCATAAGCATGTGATTCTGTAATGTAACACTATCACACTCAAGCACACCCTGTAACATTTTAGGTGAAATGCTAAAATTAAAACTATAAATTATTGCACCCACATTTTTACCCTACCGACCACACTCAAGCAGGCCTTACTTTTGCTGGACCCTGTATTTTAAAAACAAATAAATGCTCAGCGCCAGGTCTAGCACGTAAGTGCTTGATAAATATGCATGGAGAAGAATCCAAACATACTACTCACTGCGGCTCAGATGTGTGAAAGCATGTTGCTTGGTAGCCGGGTTGCAGCTGGGAGGGAAACTGCCGTTTTAAAGAAAGGTGGTTCTCCTGGTTTCAAATAGTCTCTTTTGGACAAAGGTCTGTTTCCTCGGGGTTTCCCCGTCCCCACTATTCCTGCCTTCATCCCAGGAGACATCTGGGCAGGAAGAGGCTGGGTGGGAGGCCGCGTCGGTGTGCTCTTCCCCGCTGGCCCCTGCCCACCCGCTCTGGCTCCTGGTCGTCCCCCTCCCGTGTCTTTCAGCATCGCCCCCTCCTCCCAGCACCTGCTGTGAAAGTGATTGCAGCTGCGGCCCGGGCCAGGCGGGCTCAACCCTGGCTCCAGCCCTGGCTGCTAATTCTCAGTAGCAAACGCCTCCAGCTCCCAGCCTGAACCAGACCTCTCATTAGCCCTCCTAAGCGCCTCGCCACGCCGACACGACCCCGGGCCTTTGTGCTCAGCCTCAACCCCCAGCTCCCTTGTTATCTTGCACCGGCGTTAAGAGGAGAGGCAGAGGGAAGGAGCAACCTGCAGAGCCTGGGCAGGCCTTTCTCAGCGCACGCTGCTTTCCTCAGTCACTCCTCACAAGCCAGTCAGACAGGCCCTGTAGCTGAAAGTTCCCATCCAGCCTTAGTGTTGCGAGCCGACTTGTGTTCTCCTAAAATGTTGAGGCTCTAACCTTCAATGTGATTGTATTTGCAGATGGGGACTTGAAAGAGGTAATTAAGGTTAAATAAGATCATAAGACCGGGGCCCTAATTTGGTGTCCTTGTAAGAGGTGAGACAGCAGAGGCCTCTGTGTCCTTCTTTTCCTTTCCTCCCCTCCCCTCCCCCCTCCCCCCCCCCTCCACGTCTCTCAGAGAAAAGGCCACATGAAGAGACAGGGAAAAGGCAGCCACCAACAAAACAAAGAGGAAGGTTTCACCAGAAACCAAGTCTGCTAGCAGCTTGACCTTGGACCTCCAGCCTCCAGAACTGGGTGAAAATAAGCATCTATTGTTTTGGCCACCCCGTCTGGAGTATTTTGTTATGGCAGCTAGTCTAAGATGCCCAGAGACCTCACAGTGGTGCCTTCTGGGAACGCAGACATTCTCAGCTCTGAGCAGGCGCCCCAGGTCACTGCTCCCTGCTTCCTGGGCCTGGCTGCCCACCGGAGCTGCAGCTCCACACGCCCCCTGCCCCAATTCCCCGGGACCAGGTTTTAGCTTCCACCCCGTGTTCCCTCAGGCCTCACTCCCGTACTTCTCTTGGTACTTACCACGGCCTTCCACTGGCCCGGGAGCCCGTCCGTAGCTCAGAGACCTTCTTCAGGAGGTTGTTTTCAGACCATTTCTCCATGGATGGTCCCACCTCAAGCTGCGTCAGACACGGACAACAAATGGTCTCTGAGCAAATGCCAAAGAAAGAGGCCAAGTGTCCCCTGCTCTGTCTCCCATCCTGGGAGACAGACACCTGTAAGGAAGACCCAGGAGCCTCTTACAGAGGCAGAGCTGTCTGAGGAGGGGCTGGATCCCCTGCGATTCTGGAAGTGACCTTCCTTCGCACGGTCAATCTCCAGCCTCCGGGTTCCAACCCAGCGAATGCGAATTAGCCCAGGGTTGGGGAGAGGGCTTTTCAAAGTGAAGGAGCCAGCACAGAGCTCTGGGGAAAGGCCACAGGTTCTGGAGTCAGGGTCTTTGATTTCTGGCTGTGCCCTTACTGGGGTATCACAAACAAGCCATGCCCTCTGTCTGAGCTGCAGTCTCCCGCCAGTTACCTGGCCTGGCTTCTTGGGGCTGTGACAGAGACCTCACCCTCTCCTTCCTGAGCCAGTCTGGCCAACACATCTGAACTGCAGCTCTACCCCTGCTTTGTGGGTTGTGTGTGTGTGGGGGGGGGGTGGAGGAACTTGGGGGGAGGAGTGAATGGGTGGCTGCCTTTAAAAGAATCTGATGTATCTTCTTTCTTTGGTTCAAAAAGTACATCGTCATAAAATGGCATCTAACTGCAATTGCTACCCAAGCACCTCTTCAGAACCCACTCTCCAAACGGTGCCTCGGGGCATCACTCCTGGTGCGCACGTCCACGACCCTGGTGAGGGGAGATGGGGACTTTTCAAACGTGTGGGTGAATGAATGAATGCAAGGCCTCAGCCAGGCCTCGCTGCGGAGCACGCCCAGCTCTCCTGGGCGTACTCTCCTCCTCTGAGAACCGGGACGGAATGCACGGAGCCCAGCCCCTCCGGGTCTGCAGGAAATGCCCTTCGGAGAGGGCTGCTGCCCGGGAGCCGTTTCCCCAGCTGTTTCTCAGACACACGGGGCGATACCGCTTTGGGTATGTTATGCCTCACAGTGGGAACACGCAGAAGGGTGGATCCGCTTCCCACCCTCCTGTGTTGCTACTTTGAAATCTAAGAAAAGGGTAACACAGCAGGGTGGGGGACAGGACGCAAGGCAGCAGGAGAGCCCGCTCTGTGTCTGCCCTGTGTCTGGGACTTGTGGTCTGCCCAGTGTGGGCCACGTGGAGGAGAGGTACGATCCCCCTGGGGCAGAGCAAATAGTGGAGTAGAGCCCAGAAGACCAGCATCTAAGTTCCACCTCCTAGTAAGTCGTGTAAACCTGTGCACCCAATTTACCTTCGGAAGCCTTGTGGCTCCCCATGTGAAAGAGTAGTCACAAAGCTGCCCCCGGGCTGAGGTGATGGGTAAACAGATTAGGGGAATGCAAAGGGCTTGGTCGAAGAGCAAAGTGCCAAATGGACACTGTGGTTGGGACTCTGGCTCGGACTTGGACAGGATGGGTGTGTAAGGCTACAGTACTGTATCTATCAATAGCCAACACCACTCCCTGGAGTGAACTGTAACTTGGCCAAAGTACACGAAGTGCCCCTTGGTTCCAAGGGTGACTTTCCAAGCTCCTTAGCGAGTTCCCAGCTCTCTTTGCCTCCCCACCCCACTGAGATGCCGAAGCATTTGTGACGAGGGGCACTGGGGAGCCAGTGCCCTGCTCGGCTGGAGTGCAGCTCCCAGGCGGTTCTGTGATGGGCTCCTATCACCAGCTCTTAGGAATTTAGGGATTTGAAAGATTTGGGGATATTTACTGCAGCAAAACCCAGCCTGGCCTCACTGATACGCCTGGATACTGTTTCTTTAAGCCATTTAATAGCAAAACCAAAGAAAGGAAAACAACACAGAGGAAACACATTCACTGTAACACTGAAGGCAGCAGTCTCAGGACGGCCCCACACGCACAGAGTAACACTGAAGGCAGCAGTCTGGAGGAAATTTCAGGGAGAACCCCACAAGTACACAGTAACACTGAAGGCAGCGGTGTGGCGCAGGTCTCAGGACGGCCCCACGAGGACACAGTAACACTGAAGGCAGCAGTCTGGCGCAGGTCTCAGGACGGCCCCACGCGGACACAGAAACACTGAAGGCGGAGGTGTGCGGAGGTCTCAGGACGGCCCCACGCGGACACAGTAACACTGAAGGCGGAGGTGTGCGGAGGTCTCAGGACGGCCCCACGCGGACACAATAACACTGAAGGCGGAGGTGTGCGGAGGTCTCAGGCCGGCCCCACGCGGACACAGAAACACTGAAGGCGGAGGTGTGCGGAGGTCTCTGGGGCAGCTCCAGCAGGGTGCTACTTGCTGCTGCTCTTGGGAAGCGGCCGGTAGACCCCGATGACCACAGCGTGGTCCCTCTCATAGGGCTCCAGGGTCAGCTGCTCTTGAGGCTTTAAATTTTCCTGCTGCAACTTCCTCACCTCAGATGCAAACACCGCCTCGGCAGACGCAGTGGAATCGATGCAGTTGGCCTTGATGGAGATGAGAAAGTGGCCCCCATTGCGCAGGAAGGTGTGGGCGTTCAGAGCCAAGATGCGGGACTGGTCGGGTTGGGCCACATCCGCGAAGATCACATCCACCATGCCCACGAGCATGCGGTACTTGAGCGGGTGCCGGGCATCTTCCAGGACCGGAATGATGTTGGTGCGCTTGTTGGCCACGTTGACCAGGTCGCGCCCGGCGCGATGGGAGAACTCCACCGCGTAGACCAAGCCTTCGGGGCCGACGATGTCAGAGACGTGGGACACCGTGGTTCCCGAGGCGGCGCCCAGGTACAGCACTCTGGACTTGGGCTTGATGTGGATCTGGTCGACCCCGCCCAGGATGGCCGCGGCCAGCTTGGAACGGAACGGGTTCCAGGTGCGGTACTCCTGCTTCACGCCACCCTCAGTGATGGTGACGCGCCGCTCGCCGTACACCGAGTAGCCGGGCACCATGTTCAGCGTGACCAGCGCGTCCTCCGCCCCGCGGTAGATGAAGACGCCTTCATGTCGATGGGGCTCCACCGACACCGTCTTGATGCCCTTCTTGCGGCGGTTCTTGCCCCTGGCCCCGCCGCCGCGCCGCCGCCCGCCGCCGCCGCGGTCCCTGCCCTCGCCGCCGCCGCTGCGTCCCCGGCCGCGGCCACCGCCGGAACCGCGCGTCCGTCCCCCGAAGCCGCCCTTGCCGCCAGAGCCACCGCCATCGCCGCCGCCTCCTTTGCCGCCACTTCGCCCACCGCCCCAGCTGCTGCTGCTGCCCCAGCCGCTGCCCCAGCCGCCGCCCCAGCCGCCGCCAGAGCGGCCCCCGGAGCCGCCCCCTCGTGAGCTAACCGCAGACTTCATGGTGCGCCCTGGACGCCCGGCACCGGTTTTCAGCGGTGGCTGGTGGCTCCAGGTGGTGGTCTTGGCGCGGGACGAAGGCTGGTGGCCCTGTGCACCGCTTGCCGCGGAGTGTGCCGCGGCAACGTGGGAGGCTGTGGGCCGCGGTCGCAACCAGCTCGGCCGCAGCCCCAACCAGCTCTGCCGCAGTCCCCGCACCCCCGGAGCTGCGCTTTGACGCAGGGATTAGCGTGATTACATCATTCCCGTTTTGGCAAGCCTGCAGTCCCGGAAGCCCCCCTTCCCGGACCCCGCGCGCAGACGCAGCCCGCTGCCCGGTAGCTCTCCCCTCCCCCACCTTCTGCTTCCTCCAGGACCCTCGGACTGCCGCTGGGCTGCGGGGAAGGGGTGACTCCGCGGGCAGGGGGAGGCGGGCACGGACGACAGTCCTCGCCGTGCCACTTGCTTGCTCCATGGTCTGGGGAAGCTTACCTGAGACCCTCTCTGCGCATCTTGTGGGAGTTTGCAGAGACTTCTTGAACTGCGTCTCACTGTCCCATCTGTAAAACAGAACCTGCCTCAAGGGTTTGTTTTAAAGCATCGGCCAAACCCTACCCAGTGTGGGGTTTGCTCAGTCCTAACCAATGGACTAAGCACGGGCCTGCAAACCAAAGGGTCGCTGGCTCGATTCCCAGTCAGGGCACAGGCCTGGGATGCGGGCAGGTCCCCGGTGGGGGTGCGCGAGAGGTAACCACACACTGATGTTTCTCTCCCACTCTTTCTGCCTCCTTTCCCCTGTCTCTAAAAATAAATAAAATCTTAAAAATAAGTAAAGCGCTGGCCAACGTACATGCTACGTGCTCTATACATGTTTGTGCTATTGCTTTAAAAACGTGTGTCTTTTGGTGCGTCTTTTTATTGAGATGTAGTTTGCACACAAAGAAAGTACCGTTGTTTTGTTTTAAATAAATGTATCGCCGTTAGAGCTTCTGCCACCTGCGAAAGGCTCCGGCGCTCTTGTGTAGGGTTGGTGGGGTGGCTGCTTGGTGCACACACTCGAACTAACGCAAACAGCGAACCTGAAGTCCGACTCTGCCACTTTGGAAACGTGCTCCTAAAGGGACGGCCCAGCAGCTGCCGTGGCCGTAGGTACAACCATGGAGCCAGGGCGGCGGCGGCGATCGCCGATGCTACGGCCATGGTGGCGGGCCCGGCGAGGGAGACTGATGCGAGCGACGCTGAGAAGACAGGCATCACAAGCTCTGCCCAGACTGGGTACAGAAGTCGCGAAGGGAAAAGCCCCAGCCCGGGAAGGCAGGAGAGCAGTGGCTCCCTGCTGCGGCCCCGGTTGCTTTCCACTTGGCTCTGTGCTCTTCCATTAGCTGTGCCGAATCCCAGAACCTGTTCTGGAACCACGGGCATCAAGAAAACGTCGGCTCTTCAGGGTGAATGGGCCAGAGCCCTAAACCGTCTAACACGCCTCCACAAGGGCAAAAACCTCATGCTGACCCTTGAATTTTAGTCCATACTTCAGACATTTGCTTTCAGTCTGCAGTATTTTCTTGAGTAGATTTTGAAAAATATAGAAACAAAAGAAAACAAACAAGAACCGTTGGGAAGCACCAAGAACGGCCAACGCGCCGACGCAGAAGTTTGTGTATTTGGTCAGCACCACGGACAGCGGTATCACCGAGGGGGCTGGGGGGCATTTTAGAGACTAGAGCTGGGTTTGGGGCCCCAAGATCTGGGGAAGGTGCTGTGAGCACCGAGCGGGGCTGCCCTATTAGAGGGACTAATCGCCTGCTCCAGAGTGAGAAAAAAATGTGCCTGAAAGTCAGGGAAAATTTGAGGCAGAGGGTGCCCGTTCTTGTCTGATTCACAGACACCAACACCAGGCCTGGTTCTCCCCAGAAGTGTGTGCATGGGAATGCGGACAAGGGGTGAGAGAGTGCAAGGGCTGGCTCACATAAACCACTCTCCTCAGGGCTCCTGCTTTCCTTACAAATGGAGGAGTGTTCTCTAACAGGAGCAATGATTGCAGTTCCCCAAAATTAGCCCCCGAGAGGGTAAATTTTGTGACTGGCTCACAGGGTGCCCAGATATTTGGTCAAACATCATTGTACGTGGTTCTGTGGGGGTGTTTGGGGACTGAAGTGAACAGTTAAACTGGCAGGCGGAGTAAGGCATCAGCCCTCTGTGACGTAGGTGGGCCTCCGCCAGCTGTTGAATCAGCTGGATCAAACCAAAGGCTGATCTGTCCCAGAGTCACAGAGACGCTGCCTGCCCGGTGGCCCCTGAGCGGGCACACGCCCCTCCCTGCCCTCCAGCAGCCTGCCCACCCTCAGACTCCACCGGCCACGTTGGCTCTGCAGACTGTGGACCCGCCAGCCTCCGTAACCTCATGGGCCATCGGTCAGTACAGATACATCAGTCCATCTACCCTATTGGTTCTGTTCTCCGGAGAACCTTAGTACGACCCCTGACACAAGGGCTCGGGTCCACGTGGTCTTTTGGCAGGTGATCCCAGGAACACATGTGGGGCTGGGGACAATGAGAAAGGCTAAGAAATGGCGCACCAGTGAGCAGATTGGGTTATCAGGGCTCCACTGTCTGAGCACCTTGTGGGAGGCCGTGAAGAGTGTCTCAGAAGTGTTCCTCTGCAGGCCCGGGGGGTTGGGGGCTGGGGAGGCCGGGGCTGGAATCCACCTTGCTCCCTTCCCCACCGCCAGTTGTTTCTGGGGCATTCACTTCCCACTAGGAGTCGCTGCTGTGCATGGCGCAGCCGACGCCCGATGCTGCAGAGCCCTCAGGCGGAGAAGCAGGCACTCGAGGTGAATGCTCAGGTGCACAGGGGACACTGGGTAGGGCATCGAGGGGACCTGCTTCCCTGGCCACTGCATCTCATATACAACCAGAACTTCGTAACCTAGAAAATGTGCACGAGCTCATAAAGCTTATTATACCAGGACGGGAAGTCAGACTGTGAGTGCACTAATGCTTCCTGTAACACAGGCATTCGACTTAGCTGTCCAGATCTTGCTTCAGTGAGTGTGAACATTTTCCACTGTGGTACAGAGTATCAGGGAGGCCTGCAGTTGCATTTGAAGAGCTTATTCCTACTCTGCTTCTCTCCAGGGTACGAACTACCCATCCTGTACAATGAATGACCTCTCTCCACTGCACCGCAGGTTACTGAAGAAGACACGAATCCATCACCAAGAAGTCTACCAGACTCTCCCCTGAATATTTTAGGTGATCCCGTTCACCGTGCCGGGTGCGAGGCATAGCGGGCACGCCTGCCGACAGGTCCTGCCCAGCCGCGTCACAGTCACGCTGTCACTGCCTCTGCAGGTTCTCAGTGCAAGTGTCTCCCAGGCTGCTGCTCTCAGCCTGTTGTAAGTGGACCGACTCGGCCTTGCTCGCGTCCTTGCTGTTCACTTCAGAACAGAAACTCTAGAGGGTGTCCTGCATCCCTACACGATGAACTAAATGCAGCTGATCGGGAGGGGTGGCTAGTGATTACAAACCCCAATGAGCAACACCCTGAATGCAGAGTCCTTCTTAGGGAGTAATCACTGTGAAGCAGCAACAGGAGGGGCCACCTCCCTCATGGTGCCTATTTCCCCAGGTTTCGGGTGCTCACCCTACTCACTAGATTTCCTACCAGGGCTTAAAGCAGCCTGCTCTACAGTCTAGCAGGGACAGAGTCTCCGGGCACCTCCCCACCGCTGCCCCAAGCTGCCCGTCACTGTCATCACATTACTGGTGTCATTTCAATACTCCGCTAAGGGTTCCGGAACCATCCTCCCTTGTGGTAGCGAGCCCGGGCCACTTCCTCAGGCCTTTTCTCACTCAGTCCCTGGACAGCCCCGAAGGAACGATAGGAACCGAGTTTCAGATCTTTCTGACTACAGGCTTCTGTCCCAGGACTGTATTTAATGATTCCCCGGGACACCTTTTCTGTCTCCTAGCTTTGATTCCTACCTGGCACAGCTGTTTGTTACAGCCTGGGGAGCACCCATCATTTAGCAGAGCAGAACATGTCTCACCTGTCCTGTGCATGACCCAGGAATGCCACCAAGGCAGGGACTCATGCCAAGTATTGCATCATAAGGGGAATGAGGTGTCAAAATCTTACATGAAAATTTTTGTCGCAAGCTGCCGGTAACATTGAACTCTGTCTCAGTCCTGAAGATTCTTTAGCGGTGGGCACCATCCATTCAAGATGTTTCCTCAAAGGCTAAGGCTGGCATTATGGGCCAGACCTTTCTTTCTGACAGCCAGCAGGCACAAGTATGGTCACTGAAACCTGTGTTTACAGTTGACTTATTACTCTGTACAGCGATTACTCGGGCAGCGATCTCCATAATCATACCTGTGACCAGGCCTTAGTGGTCAACATGGAGTACGTCAGTCCTGCCCACAGACTCACAGACACACGAAAGTCTTCGCTTTGCTTCTCTCGACTAGCATGGCAGCAAACCACCGGAGGAGCGACTGCCGCGACTTCGGTCGAACTCGCTGCAGGGCTGTGACACCCCGCCCCACTCTCACTAACTAGCACTTAGACAGTTGTGTGTGAAGTGGCTGTCCCAACCTGTTTTCTCTAAGCCACACAGTTCCCCTTCAAAGGTGACTCCGGGGGTGGCACTCTATCCACAGCAATAGCTTGGCCAACCTGGGCTGAGCTATAATGCACTAACACATCATAACCCCGTTATCAATGGGTTGGTACAACTATGTTTATTCCTTGCTTACGTTTCACGTCCACTGCAGGTCCACAGAAGGTCTGCTCCAGGTGCTCGGTGCAGGGCTCAGACACTAACATCTGGTGGCTGTAACATGAGAAGCAAGAAGGCCTCCGTTGTCACCACTGGGGAAGAGAACACGTGGAGAACTCACATTCTTTGTTCTGTGTTGGCCTAGGGTGTGACACAGTCGATTCTACTCACAACCCATGGGCCAGGACTGGTCACTTGCCCTCAGCGATACGCAGCTGGAGAGCGTGGGTGGGATAACTGGCCAACAGGAAATGCTTCTGCCAGGGGTGCCTGCTGCACAATGTCAGCCAGCCCCCCTGGACCAGTGCACCCAGCCACAAACCCCACAGACGAATCTGCTGCTCCACATGCATCTATTTAAATATACTTATTTACCAAGACAAGATGTAACACCTTCTTACTAAGGTGTGGTTAAAACCCAGACTCATCACTGATCCCTA